AACTAGACATGGAGCCATTGATCACTATCAGTTGAGCCCGACAATCTAGCCAGCTTTCTATCCACCTTATAGTCCAGTCAATCAAATCAAACAGTCAACTGATATTTAGATACAGTTTTTAAAATAAGCCAGATACATCAATGACATTCAGGCATTCACAGGGTAGGTGTAATATTTAAATAAGAAAAACCTCTAATCTAACACATCTAAACTAAATAATTTAAAATCACATTTAGAAATGAGTCAGATTTATGTGCCTTAACCTATTTTTCTTAATTGGCCCATTTCTGAAATGTATTTATCTTATTTTAATTTGCTGGTTATATCTTGCTTTGCTGGTAAATCTGTGATAATCAGCTGTGCCTGTTATCAGCTCTAAAGTCAAATTATTTGATTAATCCCCAGGGGGTAATTTATATTAGCATCAGAATCCCTATTTTGGATGTAATTACAGTTTATACACACTGTAATACATGAACAGCAACAATATTTTGTACAATTAAAGTATAAACTTCATATATAAATAAATCACTCAAGTAGTGGTAAATATTAAATAAAGGCAATGCCCACCTAGCTCTGTGATATTCTTTAAATATATGAAAGGCAAAGAGTATACAAATTTAAGCTAAATATGCTGACAGTAGCTGAGCAACAGGAAATGTTGTTCTATCACATCAGTGGCTAGGTTCAAATAATACAACTGGCCACCCAGGACAAGAAACCTTTAAATCATGCTTCTTGTATCTAGGAATAGAGATGTATAGACCACACGAGGCAGCAATACACTATTGTAAACTTTTTTTACCTTCAGAAGATGCAATCACAGCCAATGGAAAGGCAAACTGAATGGAGTGTCAAGGAGCAAAGCATTGGCCTGGGATGAAGGAGTAGATGGAAAGCCTAAAACTCAGCAAGATGATTTCCACACCCTCAAAAAAATGTACATACTGATTAGGACTGTGGATAAGAAAAAGACTAAACAATAATACTAGGCAACCCAATGCAATGAAAAAAGAATTTATAGATCAACAGACAGTAAAAAGTATCTTCTCCTATTACTTTTATTCAGAAACCCACAGAAAGTTCAGCACATCAAAATGTGCCCTCATTTGAAAGTGATTTTTTTACAAAAGAAAACCAAAACAGTAAAATGATGAGTGAAGTTAGTGCTTGTGAAAGTGAGCAACAGATGGGGCAGACTTCAAACCAGCTTGGTATCATCAGCATGTACACAGCAAAATTGCCTACACAGCTTTGCCACTATACTTTAGTTTTTGTCTGCAATTCTCTAGTTACCCACTCACAGGCATTTCAGCAAAGACTGACAATTGTGCCTAATTCATTAGGCAGTGATTTTTGTGACATGCATAAATAGGGACTGGGGCAAGACCATCAAACTCATTTCTCATGACCTAACCCATTGTGCAATCTAGTCCCCGACATAAAAGGTCCTCATTTCAGGGCAGATTTAATACAAGCATAAACCTTCAAAGCTGCTGTACCAATACAAGTTCTACACAGCTATAGAACTGTAATGGGAAGTTTCAGAGCATATATCACAGAGGCAACTAAGACATTTATACTTATCTGCCCATTGGAAACAACTGCCAGAATAAATTTATTTTCAGGTTTGTCTAATAGGAATCCATAAAGGAGAACATGTTCAGTTCTGGTCATCGTAAAAGGTACCAGTTGAGAGCAACCTTGGTGTCTTCACTAATCTCTATCCAGACATCTCATTTTAGACTAGACTACAAACATTGGTTCTTTGGACTCCTTAGTATGTAGGTAACCGTGTACATTACTTATTTCAGTATTGAATAACAGTACTGAAGGAATAAAAAACAACAGAAGACTGAAAGTCATGCAAGCACAAGGATGACTCTTCTCAGGCAGACCACACTATGAATAGGTTAGAAAGCTGACTATTTGAGAGGAAACAGATTATTCAGGTTTCAGAGGGGTAGCTGTGTTAGTCTGTATCAGCAAAAACAATGAGAAGTCCTGGTGGCACCTTAGAGACTAACAAATTTATCTGGGCATAAGCTTTTGTGGGCTATAACCCACTTCATCAGCCTAACTGGTGATACCATTATATATGGGAGAGATTGCTAGAGAGGGGAAAACCTACATTCCAGATAAAACTAAATCGTTTTATTCAAAATGATTTAGTTCTCATGACTCTCTCCATATGAAGCAGACATCTATTCTGCTCTGCTGCAAATGAAATAGATGAAGTCCAACACAGAGCAATACTAACAGTCCCAGAAAACTCAGCAATGAATTTTCTCAGTCCCGTTCGCCATACAAGTCTCACCCATATCACTGTGACAGAGTGCAGAGGCACTACTTAGGTCACAGCGAACAAAGTTAGTACCAGTTTCCCCTTCATTGCACAGGGGCTCACAATAACGTCAATTTGGTGAGAGTAAGGATGAATGCCTTTGTGAATGCCTGGTTCAGAAATAGCAGTAAAATGTTGGGTACAGGCCAGGCTGCTCAGTCCAGTGCTGGTTCAGACCTGGGGATTATAGGGATTCCCAGGCAATGCAGAGATTTGGCCCAAATACAGTTCTCAGAAGAATATTATTTCCCAGTAGAAGAATAGAGAGCTACAGCCCTGATCCTACATTGTGATCTGCAAGGGCAGTTTACCGATTCTACACAAAGCACGATGCAGAATCACAGCCTAAGTGAGAGAAATAAAGGTAATCACTGCACTCAATAAGAGGCACTGAACTGATGACTAGTGGCACAGTGCCTTAACCAGCAAGGGCAGGGATGCAGAATCCTTTTTTGTTTTCCTCTGAGGGGAGATGGGAAAGAGTCTTCAGCAAAGCTGCCTTCATAATCAAAAGGATCAGTATACCCAACAATGAAAAGTACACACCAGTAAATACAAAAGTGAGACATTCCAAAACTTTTGCTGGCAGCAAAGCATTTATTAAACAGATTACCAAGAGTGGCCAACAACTGATTTATGTGCTAACAGAAAAACTTCTTTTGGCCCATTTTTCAAAACCAACTATAGGATTTGAAATAGAAGACTTCTATTTGCAGAAAAATGCCCTCATGTTTGCAAATCCCAGAATGTTATCTTCAATTTGTGATGTAGCTGATCAGAAATGCCTCAGATTATGGACTGAATGATCTATCCTGACATGTTGGTTTAAATTGTTTTGTATTAAATGCAAAACCCTACATTACCACTGTGCAAATTTGTATTTCCAGACTTGTGTTAAGTTTCCAGTAGAAACATTAACTCAAAACATGTTGGACATAATATGTTAAGTATACACTTTAAAAATATTCTTACCAGTATTTTAAAATACTCCATACACACTGAATTAATGTTGCTTTTTGAACTTGCAAAGTTGGGAAAAGTGTATGTTCAAATTTGAAAACTTATAACTGCACTGTGTAAGTTCTTGCATTTAATTCTTCTGAAATTTCATTTTAAGATAGAAAAAAATATAGCAGTGACATTATGGAGTTTAGCTGTGCAACTGTGTTTTCCATTACTTCAATAAAGTTTAAAGCTGTTTTACTTGATATATGCACAAAATACAATTACCCAACTAAAACCTAATCAAAAACCTACACTGTGTACAAAGGGAAATGAGTTTTTCCACCCAGCTTCCCCCACCCCACAAAATTTATAATGCAGCTATTCCTGAGGAGGTAACCACATACACAAAACTCAAATCATGCCGGAACACTCCAGAACAGTGTTCCAGTATTTTTGGGGAAAGCTAGAATGGCATACCGGTACTTTTGCCAGTTGTGGGCCAGGCAGCTCCTTTGCCTCACTAGCTGCAGAGCATTCTCTGAGCCATCAGGTGATGGTGCTGGAGCTAGGCTGGGGTGCTCAGTGGCAAGAGAGTGGAGGGCACCAGGGATGCCGCAGCCAGGACAAGACAGGGGAGTGAGGGCCATTATGAGCCTGGGGCAGAGATATAGCTGGGCAGCAGGGACGCCTGGACAGCATAGTTCCCAGCAGGGAGTAGGAGCTAGGCACCGGTAGGAAGGAGGTGGGGATGGGACAGGCTCTGCAGAGAATCACCCCCAGCTCTCTGGGTCCTCACCCAGCTCCCGCAATGCCCCTTGGGGCCTCCCACTGCCCTGAGTTCAGACACTTTTTTTAAAAAGGAGTCAAGCACTAGCGTATGCACACCTTCTTAAAAATCAGTTTGGACTCTCCATGCATACATAAATTCTCCTCCACTTTTGGCTGAATAGGGGATGAAAGAAGATGGAAGCCTGGAGAGTGGGGAGATTAAGTTTAAAGCTTAAGTTATTTGCCTATAGGCCCCAGTCGGTAATAGGGTCCATATTTTGTCCATACAAAGAGAGAGCCCACTCTGACTTTCAGAAGATCCTACATGTCCCAGAGGCATTTAACAAGTTGGGCCCTGAACCTCTAAGCTCTCCCACATGGGCAGCCTCTGGTACCTAAGCAGACCCCCCTGAATTCAATTGAGTTCTGTGTGGGCACAGGGGTCTGCCTTATGGAGCAGCTTGCAGGACTGGGGCCTTAACCAGAGTCTCAGTACACCCAGTAGTAGTATCAACTCTTCTATGTCACTTCAGTTATCACTAGTTATTTCAGTTGTAATCACATGTGCCCCTGGTTCCCGTAAGCGCTGTAACCTTGCATGTTTGGGGATCCATAGTTCTGGAGGGGTGAGAAGACTGGGGACATGGCTGGGTTCATGAAGGGAGACCCTTTTTCTAAAGAAACATTCCCCTGGAAACTCAGTGGTGCCACTCCCTTTGTGCTCTCAAACCCATAAACTAAGACGTTTTCTAACTAAAAATAAAAGTCATCTGGCCAGAAAGACTTTCACCCTATACAGAAAGGCAGAGTCCAGGAAAACTATGCTGCCTTAAGGTCAGATTTACCTCCATTTGCTTTATAACTAAGAATTTATGTAGAAGAATTTGCAACATGCAATCATACAACATACACAAAATGATTATTATTAGACTAGTTGGTTTACCATTCCGGTGGCACCATGCTTCCATCCACTTCCCAGAATGTATTTTTGCCATTCATTTCAGTAGTATAGTCAACCCATCTATGACGACCTTAAATTTGACAAACAACACTGTATTAGCTAAAAATAATTATTCCCAAAATAAAAAATGGAAGATAATTATAGTTAAAAGTTCAATAGCGTGTTGTACAGACAGAACCCCAATTCACCAGAGGCAATATTTTATTTTTGCTCAATGGCACCATCGCTCTTTACAGAGCATGGTGTATGCACGGATGAGTTCTAGATTTACACAAAGTATCATGATACATATGGACACTGCCATCGGACCTTCACACAATGACATAAGTTCATTTCTGATAGCAAAACCTACACCACACTCTCTCCTTACTCCTTCAGGTTTGCCATGCCAGGAAATAGCATAGTCCTTCTCCCTTATAAAGCCGTCTGAGAGCCAAGTTTCCCAAAGAGATGCAATATCAATTCTGAAACTTGCAAGCTCGTTACTCAGCACAGCCATTTCCCTCAAATTTGAATTCAGATCAAAGTCAAATCCAGGGCTCAAAGTCGAAATATTCCAGCAAGCAATTCTATTTATAAAAACAGCTGAGCCAGGATTTAAACATAAAATGAGGCAGAGCTTATTTGCCTCACTTTTTTTTGGCCACTCTCACACGAGGCAAGCAGGCCATCCCTAAACAGGGCTGCTTGGAAATCTGGGTAGCTGCTCCAGGGCCCTTATGTCTCTCTCAGATCCCTGTGACCATCTTGTCAAGACCTTCAGCACATAAACCTAAGCAAAGTTATGAAGGAGTGGAAGCCGCCATAGACATGTCCCCTTTAGACCAGAGCCAGAAACCAAAGGTCACAGGGAGTGTGGACATTCAGTGACACAGAGGTTGTAGCTTCTGCCAGAGAGCAACCTACATAGAGCTGCTAACTGCCTATTGTTTCAGCGTGAGTGCCAGTTCTCTTTATTATTTGCTTATTTTTGCTAATAAACAGATTATTTACCATTATGGACACACGTTCTTGGATTAATATAGATGTATATTAATCTATTAAATGCTGGAGCCTCATGGTAACTCTCCCTGTGCTCACTGGGCTGCACTCAAGGCAGGTAGCGCAGGGATGTGCTGAGCCTCAAATCCTGGAGAGCACAGGGAGCAGTATTGTGCAGCTCTGTGGGACCCCAGTGTCTCCACTCCCTGTGGAAAGCCCCAGCATCTGGGCTGCAGCACTACTCCCTTCTACTAACTTCATGCAGGCAAGTTTGCAGGGCTGCAGCCAGCAAAGGCACACCCCAGCGCTTTCTTCCCTGGCTGCAGCTCCACAAACTGGCCATTCACTTATCTGCAACTGCTAGATAATGGCAACTCTTTGCTGGCAACTGAGGGGTTGCTAATTGTCTACACTAGAGTTTTTAACTCACATTAACTGATTGTTTACCATGGGTGACTGACAACTTGCACTTAGAACAAGTGTTTGTAAATGTCAGGACACTTTACAAACACATTAGCTAACAAGCTAACTGGCACCAATTCAAGAACTCTACTGTAGACAAACCTACACACACTCCTGTACATCTACGATACACAAAAAGGGAACCCAACCATCATGAGACTAAGCTAGCTACTGCTTAGGGAGGCTCTCGATAGAGCAATGGGCTGGAATTGTGGGGAAGATGACAGAGGGCATTTGCCCCCCTTCTTGTGGGCCTCCTAAAGCCAGAAAGCCATCTGAAACCCTTAGGAAGCTCATCAAAAGCCACTTCACTCCCAAAAACCGCAATGTGCAGATAAGTCCTAAAAAAGCCTATTTTAGCTTCTTTGGGGAAGAGGATCCTACCGAGGCTGTGCATGGGAAGACAATTGGAGTGTTTGCACTCAAGGAGGCTCCAGAAACCTCCCGGGTGTTTAGGAGACTGATGCTTGCAAGAGGTGGATTTTGACCTTCCCACCCACAAACCTCTTAAGATTCACCAGGGTATTGATGTACCTTACCTAAGCAGAGCCCTAACTCCTACGCCTCTCCAAAAGGTTCCCAAAAGATAGGCTTCCTTTCTTAGGAGGGATCCGAGGAGGTGCACAGGCACCTGGGTCTCCTTTTGCAGATCTCAGAGAAATGATCAGGAAAGGAGAATGCTTCCCTAAACTTCACCTTTCCACAATCCTAAATTATGACTATTTTTAAATAAAAAATTCCCAAACCAATTTTTTTTCTTAAAGGTTAATGAGAAGTCAAAGTTGAGAGCATATCTATCAGTATCTTAAGGATAAAAATTCTTAAGGGAATGCTGTAGTTAGTGGGAAAACACCATTAAAAAGACATGACGTTCACAGTTAAGATTAAATAAGAAACCTAATCATTTTAAATCAATGGAAACTCACAGTTAAGGTACTCCAATTAGCTTAAATCTGCCCATTATGATGCTGGCTTCAACTTCTTTGCGAAGTGTTTGAATTAGGGGGAGTGGTATCAAAAATACATACAAGTCATGCATAAGGAAACCATGCAATATATTTCATTTCCATTTCACCAGCAGAATCTAGATAAACTATATGAAGTTACTAGGATATTCAGTTTAGTATACTTACCAAAAAAATACTTTTTGTCTTCATAGTATTTGTTTCCATATTTGTCAACACCTACTAGGGCACCTATCTTCAAATCGTTGACCCTGTGAATTCCCAAGACACAATCACTTCAATTGGAAGAAATTACAAAACACATTATCTTTCATTAGAATACAGCAAAAATAGTTTACAATCAGGTGAATTTAGAACACACATTTATACAGTGAAATACCTTTAAAATTGAAGGATCCCAAAGCACATCAGCAACTCAAACTGACGTCTTGCAGGATCTGGCCTGTAGTCTATTTCATGAGTAGTCTTTAACCATAGGAATAATCCCATTGACTTCCACAGGAAGAGTCACAGGTAAGGTTTTGCAGGACTTTACCATCCATTAGAGTGCAGCCACCTCTGACACAAAGTCACTGTTACACAGCAAAGAGCGATACTACACAACATTTTAGGAGGACATGAAAAATACTGTATCTACCTGAAGCTGTAAGGGTCGTAGCAGAGTTTGAATATAGCTAAGACACCAGGGTTCATTTCCCATGTCTTATGAAAAATACCACGGGACCTTTAATAGCCACAACTGGCCAAGACGTTGGTTTCATATCTCATCAAGTATAGTACATTTTACCAGTATTGTAATACTTAACTGAATGTAGGGCTTGCATACTGTTCAGATCAAAATCACAAACATGAGTTACATAGTTTGGAACATGCCTTCACTGATTATTTCCTCTTTACTAAAATCACTTACACTTATGGCTGCCTGACACTTTCCATTATAAGACCCAGTTCTCAGTGGCTTAAAACTTTGCCAAACTAACCCTTTGGGCTGATGTTTTCAAAGTGGGTAGTCTGCCTTACAGAATGTTTTTGAAAAATTCAGCAAAAATAGCTCAGGCATTTCTCAGAAGGATTATGGAAAAATAGGATTTTCCCAATTTCAAAAAAACCCTCAGATGTTTAATTGAGAAGCTCTATGCTTTGGAGCAGGGACTTGACATTTAGCAGGGATATGCCTTCTGCCATACTAGTGCATATTCACCCAAATTTGGTTAAGTTGTAAGCCTCCGAAAAATCTTAAGTTCACACATGTTCAGTAGAGACTTTCTAGACTTTGGCAGCTAAATTCTACAAATATTCCATTTGGTTGGAGTATGCTTCAGCCCAAGGCTGAGCAGAACTTTCCATGTAAATGCTTCCTGCAGCCAGGAGCCACTACGGGGACAGGCACAGAAACTGAGAACAGGGAGATGCTCTCCAGTGCTGGTACCTAGGCAGCAAGGAGGAGGCAACAGCCTGACTGGAATACAGAAGAAACTAGAACCAGGCCTGTGTAGGGGTATCAAGGGTGAAGGAGGTATCAAGACAACACAGGTCGGAGGGACCAGAAGCAGAAGTGTCTATGTGCGGGGGAGGAAGGGGGTGTCCAAGTATGTCTGTAACCACTAGGGACCACTCCACTCAGAACGTGGAATAGACCCCAAGATTAAAAATTTTTCTGCTGCCAGCAAATAGCTGTGAAATCCACTGGAAAAATGTCTGCTTCAACTCGCCCTACTGTCTTCCCCACATAGAGGAAGACAACCTGACTACTGTTATCAGTTAGTCTGGTACCTCAAGTAGCAGAAGTCTGTGCTGTAGGTCTATGTATAGTCTTTAATTACCTGGCAACATACAGAGAAATGTAAAATGGTGGGGGAAAAGTTAAAGGTATGATATAAATTGCAATGGCAAGTAGCTGGCTTCCAAGTGATTTATATTCTATAGTTAAATGATATGACCTGGTTTTAGGAAAGTGCATCTACTTTTAATTAAAAAGAAAAGGAGGACTTGTGGCACCTGAGAGACTAACCAATTTATCTGAGCATAAGCTTTCGTGAGGTACAGCTCACTTCATCGGATGCATCCGATGAAGTCAGCTGTAGCTCACGAAAGCTTATGCTCAAATAAACTGGTTAGTGTCTAAGGTGCCACTAGTACTCCTTTTCTTTTTGCGAATACAGACTAACACAGATGCTACTCTGAAACCTACTTTTAATTGTTTATTTGGTTATGTGTTAAAACAGAGATAATTTTGTATCATGTTAAGAATGACTAGCAGCAAACTAACTTGATGTGTTCCATCATGGAAACAGTGAGCTCTAGTGGACCGAGCATAGACCTGGGAGCCAAAAATCCTAAACTCTAGTCCCATCTCTGTCACTGTCTCACTGTGCTGCCTTGAAAACAGTCTTAGCCTCTATGGAACCATTCACAGTAGGAAAATGCACTGTTGCTGACAATGACTGTCAGAATTAGGTACACCCAACTGCTGTTAAATGGTTTAATTATTGGGTTTTGTCCCATCTTCACATTTACAGTATTGTTCCAGAACATGTGAAAACATGGTGACTATCACCTTTTCCATAACTTTGTTGAAAAACTTCACACCTTTAACACAAGAAAATCTTCAGAACAGGTTCGCTAGAATTTTTTTTCCATACAAATAAGAATGAATTGATTTATGTGGAATTACATCTGGGATTAGTCTGGGCTACAATTACTAACTTTTGTTGTAATTGCCACAAGCCTATTCAGCCTTCTCTTCAACTGAGAGGGCAGAATTGGGTCCTTAAAAACTTTAAACCCAGGTTAAAGGGACAATTTCATTTTTGTGTCTAAAAGTTTTTTGCCCATTCCAAGAGGGCAATAGTTACTATCTGACATACTTGGAAGTCTGTGTTGTCCAGGAAGTGAGAAAATTTGTATGGCAGAGTCAGTGAAAAAGGGATCCCAAAGGTTTAATACAATTCATTACTAGGACCGCCAGGAGTTGCCATTAGGGAGATCCACGGTTAGAGTTTCAATTTAATCTTGTGACATTTCAAGGGATCTAGTTTTCATTTTAAGATTTTGAGAGTATCTATTTATATAGATGCAATGTTTTGATTTATACAAAACTTTGTTCTCAAAGAGTTGTGGAATGCAGTCATTTTGCTTTGTGTTGTAGTTGCTGACACTGAAGGACTATGGAAGGATTGATATAGTAGGTTAAAAAATTAACCAGATTAAATTAGCAAATTCAAATAAACTGTGTTGAGCTTAGTTCAGTGCTATCTGAGAGTTTATTCACAGACAAAGCTTTCTGTTATAGCTGTTTTAGGTGATGCCTGTAAATAAAAGGAAATAAAATTTCAGACTGAAGTGTGCTTTTAAACGGACGGTATCACTTTAGGGAACTTCCTGCATTTTATTTAGCAGAACAGTAAGATTCGGGAGTCTGGTAAGAATTTTTTTTTTTTTAAATCAGCAGGTAGATTATAGAAATATACAACTAAACTGCTGAGTGGAAAGGAGTAATTTTGGGTTAAAAATAGTAAACTCATTTTATTACATGTAATATCAAAAACTTAAAATTGCAGTGTAACAATATCTAAAATGGCATTTAGAGTTCAACAGATCAGGCATAGCCAGAAGGAACAAACTCCATGTTTAATAGATGTATACCATGATGTGTTTTCCCACGTGCAGTGATGAGGTACCATTCCCCTTAAACTGAACATTTTTAGTTTCCCCTTTTCTTTGAATGCTGCTAAATAGAATCACACAAGAAAGCGTTTGTGTGTATAGGCTATAAAGCACCACACACTAATGAGGTATCACCAAGAATCAGACACACGGGATATATGCTGAAGCAGCTTCATTCTTTTAATTGGTATTGAATTGCCTCAAAAATCTTTAGAAATATTTCACCTGACAAAGTTCAGTCTTTTGTTCATAGAAGAGAAAAATTTCATGATACAATTTTTGTTTTCAATCTTCTAGATTTACACCTTTGATTTAGCTATCTAATATTTGGACCAGATGGATAAAAATATGCTGTAAGAATGTCAGAAATAGGCAAATGGATTTTTCTATAGCACAGGGTCTATGTTGAAACAATGTCCAACAGTTGGGGGTTGTTTGCTAAACTCAGTGTTAGTTTTAGGCAAGTAAATGTTTCCTATGTCTGTTCAAAGTACGCCACCTTCTATATTCTCCAGAAAGCTTTACAAGACAACTGAACCAAATTTACCAGACTAAAATACCTATTTAAATGCCTGCCTCTATCACAGATGTGGGCAAACTACGGCCCGCAGGCCACATCCGGTCCGCGGGACCCTTCTGCCCGGACCCTGAGCTCCTGGCCCAGGAGGCTAGCCCCCGGCCCCTCCCCCCCGCAGCCTCAGCTCACTGCGCCGCTGGCGCAATGCTCTTGGCGGCAGGGCTGTGAGCTCCTGGGGCAGCACAACAGCCGTGCCGCCAGCCACTGGTGCTCCAGGCAGCATGGTAAGGGGGAAGGGAGGGTTGGATAGAGGGTAGGGGAGTTTGGAGGGTGGTCAGAGGGCGGTGAACAGGGGGACTGAATGGGGGCAGGAGTCCTAGGGGGGCAGTCAGGGGGCGAGGGACAGGCCATGCCTGGCTGTTTGAGGAGAGACAACCTCCCCTAAACAGCCCTCCATACAATTTCCGAAACCCAATGCGGCCCTCAGGCCAAAAAGTTTGCCCGCCCCTGCTCTATCAATTAATACTTTAAATTTAAGGTTATGCTTCCTATGAAGAGCCCAGGATTAGGATGAAAAAAAAAATAGCTTTTTTAATACACATACAAAATAGGAAAATGTATCTGTGCTTACATGAAAGATTCCTTTCCTGAAGTAATAATATCCACAAATCTGTTACAATCAGTTCTTCAGCTCGTTTGCAGCTTGGTGGCAGAAGACAACCTGTCAGTTATTAGCACAGGGGAATGCCCTGCCTCTGAAGTTTCCTCCAGTTGAGATAATTTTCACAATCAGAATAATTCAAATCTACTTTCCCCAATTAAAAATTGTGTTAAATATACTTTGGGGGGGGGGGGGGGGGGGGGGAATTTCTTCTACTTCAGGGGATGGTAAATTCCACCTGTCAACAAACCCAGGTCTTTGGATGTCAATTTCCATCTCTGTTCTGATGATCCATTTTGTCTGCAAGTTGGCTTGATCTCTGGATCTTATTACTCAAAGAAAGGAAATTTTAAGGTAAGCACGGATTAAAGTTTCCTATTCTTTATGCTAAGGTCCATAGATCAATT